TTTTTAATGATAACTAACACTATTATAAATTTTACATCGTTCATTGTCATTCATATTATAACAATAGAATTGTAAAAAAACCATGTTGTTTGGTAAAATTTTGTATTAATTTCAAAATTTCTTAAATAAGTTCGAAAATCAAAATTAAAATTATAAATGCGAAGCATTGCTAGATATAAACATTTGTTTTACGTGACCTAAGGGATGCTTCCATTCGCTACACAAAAGACTTCTTTGTCTAAGAGGATGCATTTTCAATTAATCCATTTAAGTCTAGGAAATTCTATTTGTGACTCTAAAATTATAACTCGATCAAGACGTGATAATTGACCATTTTATTGCATTTTGGCACTATATAACCCCAGGACTCTCCAGGGTAGGGTCAGTCATTTCTTTACTTGCGCGATATTGTGGTCACTCTTCACGTCAGTCCGAAACTCTGCAGAATCTTTGACAAAATTATAAGTCTTGCACTTTCTAACAGTACAAGTAAATTCGTGTTCTTAAAGAATAAATTCTCTTGATCGCCTGAATTGTGAGCCTATTTTATGATAAAAGATATAAGTGTTTCCTTATTGTGACATTTTGTGAACAATATTTTGTACAAGTCGAAGCGACCCTTCGGTTTCACACTATTGATACCATAAGACTTGCAATTTCTAACAGTACAAGTAAATTCGTGTTCTTAAGAATAAATTCTCTTGATCGCCTGAATTGTGAGCAAATATTCAAATTGTTGAAAACCGTCGTATTAGTGTAATTCTATAATGAACTCTAAATTGACGGATTAGATTTCAAGAATTACGAACTAAAACAGTGAGTGTGAAACGACCGTTCTGGAAGGAGTTGTATGATCATAAACTGCGTCAAATCTGTATTTCGTTTCCGCCCTCATCAGAGGTAATTGTAAGTACATTTAAATTATAAATAACACACACAACTTTATCATTATCAAAATTTTTAACACTATAAATTGTATTTTTCTCTCATTACTTTCATAAAATAAACTATAATAAAGAAAAAGAATACATAAAATAATTGATTAGACTATTATTATTATTTCCTAAATCATAAAATTAAATCAAGTAGCTTAAATTATAATGAAGCAATATAATTATTTTCTTTTAAATAAAGGACAATCCCCATAGGATTGATAGATAACAACGATCTCACAAATAAATAAATAATCTGAACTTACCAATCTGATTGTAATCAGCCTACCCTGCCTCTCTATATATGTGTATATTATCTATGTATATTGTTTTATTTTAAAACAATTATTTAAATAATAATTTAACCTCGCTTTCTGCTCGGGATATAACATTATTTATTATTAATTTTTTTTATTAACGTTGGTAGTATTATTGTTTTTAAAGGTTTTTGAGACGGTGTCCGACTACTGTCTGGTTTACCCTATAACAATAAATTTGTTTAGAGAACAAAAAAATTGTTGCAACAACAAACCTCAACAACAATCCGCTAGTAGATTTACACTGGAAAAAATTTAATTGATTCAAATATCCATTTAATTGAGTATTATCAATTAAATATTTACTTGAATCAAATAATATTTATTGGAGTCAATTCAATGGTATTTGCTTAAAATACTGAAATTATTGGTTCAAATACCATTTAAATTGACTTCAATAAATATTATTTGATTCAATTAAATATTTAATGGATAGCAGTCAATTAATCGGTTATTTGAATCAATTAAATTTTTTTCAGTGTAACAATTCCTTTTTTCCGTGTAGAATAAGTTTTATTTTGATAAGATAAGATTTCGTTTTACTGCACGGAGAGAAATTTCTGCTAATATTTACCGTGCTGATACCTGAAACTGTGTTCAAAGTGCATTCTGTCAGTTTTTACTGTGCTGCCTCCACAATTTGTAATCAAAATTATAGAGAGACCACAGTAAAAACTGCCAGAATGCACTTTGAACACAGTTTCAGGTGGCAGCACGGTAAATAATAGCAGAAATTTCTCTCCATATGGTCAATATGTTTATGTTTCTGCGACTGGTCTGTATTAGAATTTATATGTACGACTTATAATGACATATTAAAAATTCATCAATCTTCAATAAAGTGTTTCATGTTTACTTCTACCTTAAACCAACTTACAGGCTTCGCACTTTTCTACTAAAAGCTACTATTTGCTACTTTTTTTATATGAGGCTACTTTTTGGCTACTTCTTTGAGCCTAATGCTACTAAAAGCTACTTTTCTGAACAAATAGTCAAAAAGCCTCGGCAAGCCCCATGCAAGAAATGCCCGTTTTTCGTACCTCGAATTTTAAAACTTTTTTTATACCAAATGGTCATATATGATGACCAAATAATCACTGCAAAATTTCAAGGTGGGCATATGCCCCGTTTAGGAAATATAGAGGGTTAAAGTTGACCATGTCAAATAAGGGAAAAATAGCGATTTAACATTTATACTCGAACAATAAGGTTAAAAAAGAAGTCAAAATAGTTCCTTTAAGATTTTTAGCTTCTGAATACGAATGTCCTGTTTAACTAAAAAAATTAAATATGGTGGATCCAATATGGCGGATCTAATATTTTGGGTGAGTGTTTTTAAAAAATCATCGGATTTACTTGAAACTCAATACACGGGGGTTTTTGGGGTCGCTAATTACGAATTTAATGTCAGATTTAAAAAAATCAAAATGGCGGATCCAATATGGAGGGCGAGTTATGTAAAAAGTCATCAGATTCACTTAAAACTTGTTACTCGGAGCTTTTTTGGGTCGCTAATTACGAATTTCATGTCAGATTTCAAAAAATTCAAAATTTTGGACACAATTTAAAGGAATATTTTTTAAAATAAAAAAGATCCTTTTCAAACAATTAACTGTAATGTTTTTAGAGGCGTTTAACACAAAAATTATATAAAGAACTGACATTGAAAATGCATTAAATCTTTCTTGTCACTACTTTAACAGCTATTGCCTTTATTGGTCGGACTATTTTAACTTGCTTTTATTAGTTGGACTATTTTATATTGCCTTTATTGGTCGGTTTATTTTAACGTGATTTTATTAGTCGGATTATTTCATCTTCCCTTTATTGTTCGGATTATTACTTCTTTCCTTTATTGGTCGGACTTTTTTATCTTGCCTTTATTGGTCGGACTATTTTAACTTGCTTTTATTAGTTGGATTACTTCATCTTGCCTTTATTGGTCAGATTATTACCTCTTGCCTTTATTGGTCGGATTTTTTTATCTTGTCTTTATTGGTCGGACTATTTTAACTTGCTTTTATCAGTTGGACTATTTCATTTTGCCTTTATTAGTCGGTTTATTTTAATGTGATTTTACTAGTCGGATTATTTCATCTTGCCTTTATTGGTCGGATTTTTTAACTTGCCTTTATTGGTTTGATTATTTTAACTTGCCTTTATTGGTCGGTTTATTTTAACGTGATTTTATTAGTCAGATTATTACATCTTGCTTTTATTGTTCAGATTATTTTAACTTGCCTTTATTAGTTAGATTATTGCATCTGGCCTTTATTGGTTGGAAATTTTAAACTTAATTTTATTAGTCGGATTATTTTATCTAGCCTTTATTAGTTTGATCAGTACATCTTACCTTTGTTGGTTTGATTATTTCATCTTACCTTTACTGGTAGAAATATTTACTTTTGCTCATTCTGATCGGATTATTTCAACTTACCTTTATTGGTTGGATTATTACATTTTACCTATATCGTTCTTTTTAATTTTTGAATTCTGACATCCCACGTAAAAAAGTTCCCGGGAATGCACTCCTAGGAAATTCCAGCAGGAAATTCTAACAGGAAATTCCAACAGGAAATTCCAACAGGAAATTTTTGTAAAAATGTTGACAAATTAGTTTCCAATTTATCGCAAATAATCAGATTTTCTTCATAAAATTCCATAGTTCTGTCAATTACAATTAATAAAATCAATATTTAATAGAGGAGGAAGGTCTAAATTTTAAATTCGAGATATAGTTCGATTTTGTAACATTTTTGTAAAATTAACCTAATTTATCGTAAATTGTCAGATTTCCTACATAAAATTTCCGAGTCTTGACAACTACAATTGATAAAACCGATATACTAGAGAAAAATCTAAATTTTGAATTCGAGATATAGATATTGTAACATTTTTGTAAAGTTAACCTAATTTTTCAAAAGTCAGCTATTTTGAATACTTAATGTATTGCTGATTGCTCAGTGTTTTGTAACGATAAGAAAAGTAATCAAGATGATAATGATATTTTCAAGACAAGAAAAATGATTATATTTTAAGGAAAGATTTTTTCAGAGACAGTGGAAGAAAATCATGAATTTTTTTTAACTGATAAAAATTAGTTAGGCTAATACCTGCAATATTAACAATTCTCTCGTTTTTTAGAATCTTTTAAAATATCCTGGAATAATAAAAGAACGTCCTAAATTGTTGTAAAAATGTAAGAAAAATTGTTTGGTTAAAACTTAATACGTTTATTCATTTAAAAAATGTTTTCATAAAAATTACGATACAATATTATTGAAGTAATGATAATAAGTAATGATAATAATTATAGTAATAGCTTAATTCAAAAAGAACATAATTTTAATTACTTTTGTGAAATTTTCTTGTTTTTTTCTCAATTCTTTTAGTTTATCTCGTAAACTACTTTTTATATCACTATCCTTCGACACTCTCCAGTGATTTTGTTTTCGCAAACCCATGAACATATTCTGTAATGATGAAAAGAAATTTTTATTATTATTATTATTATTATTATTATTATTATTTATAATTATAATTATATATTATGTATATCATGTATATTATATATATTAAATATTATTATTATTTTTTCTAATAATCTATTAGTTCTTAGAATGATTTGGAAAAATAGTTTAGAATTTTTATATGCATAAAATTTTATTGCATTGAATTTGAATTTTTATTGCATATTTTACGGTTAAGAAAACTATTTTTTAAATTTATGAAATAATTTTTTTAAAAGAACTTACTCAACAAAACAGTTATTGCAATCTCTGGTAATTGCGGTCTTTTTTTCACCTTCATCGATGGCCTTACCATCAATTGAAGAGTTATTTAAGGCATCTATTGAAAATAATTCCAAAAGTATTTGTCGGGCTAAAGTATTTTCATTGTTAGCTCTTGAAATTGACCGTTTTAGAGCAGCCTTTTTTATGAAGACACCACTATCGACTCCCAATTCTATTACCTAAATAAATTTTTTAAATAAATAATTAATGCTTAATTAATATAAATTAATAATACTTTAAGCAACTCAGTAAGTTTCTTTTTTGTTTGTGCATTTAGTAGTTTTAAAAATTTAAAATAAGATATTCTCAAGATTAAAGAATAAAATACCGTCTTAATATCAAAATTTGCTGCTTTGCACTGCATCATCCAAAGATCATTATTTAGAACTTTATCTTTTTTTAAGTTATGTATAGGTGTTGATGATGCTGCTGCTGCAGTTTCAGGACCCGAATCTTTATTAGTTTCTGCTTCAAGTAAGCTTTCCGTAAAATTAGTATTGTTGATTAACTGTGTTGCAGACAAATCTTCGTCGTCGCCATTTTTTGGAGATGAGGTCGCAATAGGTCGAGTATTAAATGTTAAATCATTTAAAAATTCTAATTCGTTTTCGGCAGTAGATATCGAGACGCTAGACATCGGTTGAGTTGTTGAAAGTGTTGTCCATGAAACTTCTTCAGCAAGTTCATTACAATGATTTGGAGCTGGAATCTTAACAGGAGCAGGCGGATGAATAAATATAAATAAAAAATATAATACATTGTATATAAAAAAATAATATAATAAATATAAATAAATAATGTAATAAATGTAAATAAATAACATGATAAATATAAATAAATAATGTAATAAATATATATATATAAATAATATGATAAATATGAAATAAAATAAAAACAATTATAGTATAAAATATTAAATTTCAGTCAGTGAATTAAAAATAATAATATAATAATAATTATAATTTTAAATATTAATATATTGACCTGATTCCATTATTATAATTCCTTTCCGAACTCTTGGCCTTTCCGCATGCTCCGGAAAAGCAAATTGATCTATTTCGCCGATTTTTATTTCAATTTCTTCAGTTACCAAAATTCCTGCTTTGCTCACAATATAAAAATACCCATCGTTTGCATAGGAATCTAATAAATAAAGATTTTCTTTTTCTTCGGTCGACATATTGTTGGAAAAAACCGAGAAAAAACTATAAAATTATATTTTGACACTTCAGGTGAATTATGTTCACAGCTTATTACAGCTGAAGTTAGTTTCAGTTAGAGGTTACGTCTTTTTTATTGTCATGTGTTTTTGTTTATAGTGCATATTTTTCTTTTTAAATGTTTCGAACTTTCAAATTAATAAAATTTTTATTTATTGTTAGAAGATTATTGTTTAAAAATACATAATTTAACAAAATGAGATTGCTTTCAATTGAAAATAACAATTTAGTTGGTAGGTTTTCTAACAAGTTTTGATTTCTAAAAAGTTATGATTTATAAATATTTAGTTTCCTATTTGTAAACTTCCATCATTTTAATAAAAGTTAGAAAATTGTTAAAAAATTAAGATTAGGAAATAGAAAATATTTTCTTCTTCTCAGTAACAATTTTATTTACAAAATTATAAGTTTCTTTTTGAAAAAGTAGAAAATAATTTATAAAATTACTATTTTTTATCACAATTTGTTAACGAAATTCTGATCTTTTAAAACAATAATAATTTGAATAATTTTGATACTAAAATTTGAAAAAATTAATTATTTATAAAACTTTTTTTTAGAAAATTTTAAATATCTTTAGAAAAATAATCCCTATAATTTCCATTTGTTAATTACGATTTTTTTAACGAGATTATTTCAAAATGTTGTTAAAAAATTTGTATACATACAATTTTTTATTATAATTTTTGAACGGAACATCAAGCATTTTATTTAAGGAATTAGAAAATTTTCTTAAATTTTATTTTTTAATCGTCATTACAAAAATTGAATATTGTTAGAAAAAAAAATTTTGAAAATTTGCAACATAATTAGAAAATGACCTTTATTAGGAGAAGAGAAATTAGAAAATCACCATCATAAGAAAAAAGTTTTTGAGAAATTCACCTTTATTAAAAAAAATTTAGAAAATAAAAAATTAGAATAAAATACGTTTTAGAAAAACTGTACCCCAACCATTTAGTTTACAAATTTAATTTTTGTTATAAAATGTAAACATAATTTTTGTTATAAAATGTAAACATAATTATTATTTATAAAATTAATAATAATAAATAATAATAATACAAATAATTAATTTTTTAAATAGTTGGAAATTGATAAAATATTAAATTATTTAGGAAGAATACACAAAATTGACGCGCGCTTTTTTATGATTTTGGTTCTAAAAGAAAATATGACTGCGTTACCATGGCAATATGCATATTAAACGAGAATCAGTTTCTGAAGGCAAAAAAGAAAGGTTATTTTTCTGAATTGAAATTTTATTTAAAATATATTATAATAAAAATAACATTCCAATTTAATTAATATGTCATTTGACATAAATCTTAGTACCAGCATCGAGAGTGATAATGATTTAATAGAAATTGATCAAGTAAGTTTTTAATCTCTATTTTCAAACAATAAAATTTTTTAACTTTTTAATATCTATTCAAATAGAATTTTTATATTTATTTGAATTCAAAATTACAATATTTTCGAACTTATTTACGAAAAAATGCATTAAACTTATGAATGAACTATTTTTTTGATAATGAAAGTATAATCAATATGTTATAAATTTTTTAAACATTAGAAAATTTTGTTAAAGTATTTAAATATTAATGGGTTAATTGTAACTATCTAGATGATTAAATTGTAAGTTGTATAAACTAGCAATTTTCTTATAATATGTATATTTATGATATGAATGATGGCGAAACTCTGTCAAATGGAACCTGCTTTTCGTTTTCATCATCAATTTCAAATTGTATGGATCCTCCGAGTATTGCTCCATATGAAGTGTCAATGTCACTTCCTTCTAGAACGTCTGACGATTCATGGAATATATCTGCTCGTTCTTCCATTGATGCGAGATTTGAAGTGTCAACATTATCATCTGCCGAAATAGATAATGATGATCAACGAACCAATTCTCTAAATTTTCCAGTTAATGCAGCAACACCTTTAAGTATTGCTCCATCTGAAGGTTCAATGTCTTCACTTGCTGAAATTTATAATGATGATATTTTGAGGATTTCTACTCTTTCTTCAATTAATGCCGAGGATCCTTGGAGTAATGCGTCATCTGAAGTGTCAACATTATCATCAATTTCTTTTGATGTTGATGATTATAACGATGATGAAACATCATGATGAACATAATTCCAAAAACAAAGTATAAGTTGTTAAATTTAATTGAACAACTTGTACCACACTCTAATGCAGACGTTTTCACAAAACATCGAGTTTGTGATAATTGCTTTGAATATTTAGGAAAATGGCTTGATAGTATGGACATCATAAACTGTCCTGCTTGTAGCAGTAGTCAGGTTAATGGTATTTTTTAGATTATTCTATTGAAACTGTCCTACAAGATGCATTTAATGTTCGAAAACTTTATAATTTCATTGATGAATTCGCTGATGATTGTTCCGAAAATAGGCCTGAAAATTTATATGATATGATCTCGGGTTCTGAATTTAAACGTTTAAAAAGGTCAGTTATTCCCGGAAAATACGATTTACTTCTCTTATGGTGTGTAGATGGAATTCCAACAGCCGAAGGTGCTGGCAGTCAGTTATGGCCAATACACGTACAAATAATGAATATTTCTCCATGTCATCGCAGAAGTTTCCAATTTGTATGTGGCCTATATTACTGCAATGGAAATATTAAAAAACCTTGCATGAATTCTTTTTTACAACCATTCGCCAATCAATTGCAAAATTTATATCAGAATGGAATTAATTGGTTTCATTCTGAGTTAGGCTGTGAAATTTGCAGTAAGATAATTGCTCCAGTAGCAACTTTAGATGCTCATGCCAAAGCACCAATTCTATGTTCCATGCTATACAATGGTGAGAACGGGTGTTTTGGATGTGAAAATCCAGGTCGAAGTGCGGAAGTAGGTTCTGGTCATAATTGGGTATTTCCAATCTTAGAGAAAGATCCTCCTCTTAAAACAGCTGAGCGCATGAAAAAGCAAGAAGATATTCTAAAAAAGTATCCGACATTAAAACATTTTAAAGGCGTAAAAGGCAATTCTATTTTATCAAAAATTCCTTACTTTGATAGGGCAAAAGGTTGTCCGCCAGATTATATGCATGCCGTTCTTCTCGGAGTTATGGATATGCTTATAAGTCTGTGGGCTAGCACAAAAAGTAACGATAAAGACTATTATTTAAATAAAACTGTTCATGATGAAATTGATAAATTATTAGATAAGATTCTACCACCAGACACCATATCTAGAACACCGAGAAAATTAATTTAGTTGAGCTTTTGGAAAGCCTCTGAATTTAGAGCATTCTTACTTTTTTATGGACCTGTAATTTTAAAAGAAAGATTAAATGATAAATATTATCAACATTTTTTATTATTTGTGAGGGCAGTTTACATTTTGCTGCAAAAGAAAATTGATCCTATAGAATTAGATTTAGCAGAGACATTATTGCATATTTTCGTAACAGACGTAGAACTCCTTTATGGTCTTAATAAATGTTCCTACAATGTTCACCAATTGGTACATATGGTTAGATATGTGAGGATGTGGGGACCTATTTGGGTGTGGTCTACATTTTCATCTGAGGATGGAAATGGAGAGTTGTTGAAAATAGCACACGGCTCTAAAAACATGGATGTGGAAATTTTTAATACTATAAAAATAATTCACGCTTTTAAGGCTATTAAACAACTCATGAATATTGAAAGTCTCCGTAATTTTGGATTAGAAACAATAGGTTCTCCTGCAAATTATAATTTAATAAATGATGAAAGAACGGCTATACGAAATTCGCCATTTTTTACTTGTCAATCCGAAATGCAACAAGCTATTCAAATTTACTATAAGTGTAGAATCAATAATGAAATATATACGTCAGAAATTTACACAAGACAAAAAAGACGCTGCAATACGCACATTTTCTGGAACAATTGCTCGTTGTTTGGGGTTATAAGGTGTTTTTTATTAATTGAAACTCGTTTATTCTCTCTCGTTTGTCAACTAACAGAAATTTGTGATAAGAGTAAAGAAATCATACTAACTGAGACTGCAGTGAGTTTTAATAAATTTATAAAGCCTGTTAACCAATCCGATCACTTATATTTGATTCCAGCCGAAAATATAGAAGGAAAATGCTTGAGAGTTTTAGATTACGTTTGCATTTACCCAATGATGTTGAAAGAAAATAAAATCATCATCTTTTGACAATGGTGAATTAGAGTTACTAAAAATTTAGGTCTTTCATATATTATATAAACTTTTATTATCATATATTTATAAATTTATAATAATATAAATTATAAAGTATTAATTATAGTTAAATATCTTGATCTTGCATTCAAATATATGTAGTTATGTACAAATAAAGTATTGTAAATAAAAATTGTAAAACCACATTCTTTAGTATTATTTATTTATAATTTCAATAAAAGATTATTCGAAAAATTATACTTATCATACCTACCAGATATTATGATACTTTAGGACTAACAAAACATTTCACAACCATTAAACACTTACTGAATATAAAAAGAGAAAACTGTTTTTCGACATCAAGACAATTAATTTTTATTTCAATAAAACTTAATAGTAAATAGATGATAATTTAATCAGTTCATTTGATTTTATGTAAAAAATAACACTTTTGATCATGTAGATTTTATTATTGCTTGAGGATTCAAATTATTTAATTTTCCACAAAACTTCACTTTCAGCTACTAGGGAAGTGATAAGTTTATTCATGACGATTTGATAATTTTTGTTATCAGAGGTTAAAAATTAATTATTATTTATTAAAGGTTAAAACTATATGTTCCGATGACATCTTACACATTCAAACACCTCTTTCTAAATGAATTTCACAGAGTGATTTTATATATATATATGTGTAAGAGTATTGTCTAAAGCGATAAAT